ATGAATATCAAGTGGGATCTATGCCCGCATTTAACTTTTTGTAACCCTCTTTTAAATGAATCGTAGGATTTATAAACGCAAGAGTAAAGTTCACATTAAAAATACATTTATACTGGCAATTCTTTCTGAGGCAAGCGCGAAAACGAGAGTGAGAAAAATCATTATTCGTTATACATCTGAAAAGCAAATAAAAAATGACACTTTCTCTTACCGGGGACTTAAACTTGTCATGGGCGAAATTATCAGATAACCTTTTGTATTTAATTTCATGGACGGAAAAAGTTACTAAAATAGAAACTGAAACCTTAAATGAATTGACTGTCGGCTAAATTAACGCCTCTCCGAGACAAGAGAGATGACAGCCTATTCAGAGATAAAAACTCCCTATATTTTGTAGCTTCTGAAAATGACCCCATGGAAAACACAGAGTGGGTTCTGGGGAGCGCGCGAGGGAAGAAGACACATGTATCGCTCGAAACTAGCTGCACCTATACTTGATGGTTTTTTTTTTTCGATAATTGTTATTGTTAAGAACTCTTGAATAAAAAAAAGGATTTTCATCCTAACTGTTCGGGATAAGTTGTTGTATTTCCGGTAATGTTAGCTATATTTCAATTCAACTTTTATTTTATTTCCGTCTAAATTTTTTCATTTTTCTTCACGCCAATTGTTTTAAAGTCATGAAACCAAACGATAATTCCACTACGGAGACGAAGCATAAACCTTTAAAAAAAATTTTCTGCAACTATAGAAAAATATAGTTTAAACTTATCTACATTCTATTGTCAAAACAAAACAACTACATATCTTCCTTCAGTCGACTCACATTTGCGTTCATTAAAGGTTTCACCCCAACCCCGTCCGCTGCTATGAGTAACGCACCGTACAACTTAAGCAATCAAATACAATTCAGATATTCTCGTTCACCGTATTCTCTTTATGCCGTTACAGAAGGCATTTTCCTCTACAGAAATACATCAGGGAAGCTATGTACACGAAAGTGGACCCAGTAAAAGGTCTCTTTGTTAGGTTTCTCTGGCGGGAAGTTTTGATATCTACATGAAGACATTTCTGAGGAGATTTTGAATTAATCCAAGGACACTTCGAGCTTTCCGCAAAGACAGCCAAAATGTTTACCAGGATGTCTTCAAAAGGTGGCAACAGAGCATGACCGATTAATAGAATGTTTCCAGATGGAGAAAAATTGTGTCAATCTAATTGGATGTAAACTCGATGAAGACAATTAAGAACAAAATAATGCTATTGAGAACAAAGAGCTCGAGAAAATAGAGGGCCGACCGCATCAGATTTAGATCATTTAAGGCCACGATCTCTGAGTGTATTGGCTAGCTGCCTTCTTATGAGGGCATGCACAAGCTGTTTTAATTAATCAAAGGAACCATAAATTTTTTTAGTATAATTTCAGAGCTGAGCAAAGACTTTCCAGCAATCTGATTGGTCGAGCGGTTCCTTACTTGACGCTATATAAACCACTCCACGCGGTTTATATAAAATGTTAAAATGAAATGTTAATAAACGTTACTAAAATGTTATGATTTTAGAAATTTCTCAGTTGTTCAGCTCTGAAATTATACTAAAACAGTTATTCGCCGCAGGTCGGGTGAATATTGTCGAATAATCCCCTCGACTTTGTCTCGGGGATTATTCGACGATATTCACCTCGCATTCAGCGAATAATTGTTAAATGTGTCCCTTAAAGAAGATAAAATACATTATTATCCAACTGCTACAACAAATTTTGGGGACCAGCGGTCTGTTCACGTGCTGGGGTTCAGCCCCCTCGCGTCAACATATAGATTTCAGTGTTTGCGCGAAAAGCTTCGTTATGATACGTAGTTTGATGTTGTATGTCTTTAAGCTGCGCCTCGCGTTCTTCCAAGATTTAAACCTTCAGGTGTGTTTCAAGTTTTCATTTCGCCGCGTTTACTTCGTTTATTACTTTGTTTATGTCATTTATATTGGGTCGTTAGATTTAATTTAGTGTAATTAATTTTGTTAGAAACCACTAGTCAAGAAATAAATGTATATGGTTCGAATAGCCATTGAGTAATGTTACCGATGCGAACGTTACACCACCTACACTCCGTAGAGTACAAATAACGCCACAGACAAGTACAAATATCACGCGCTATTTGTACTCCAGAGAACCGGCAAGACAAGATTTCTCGCATCGAGCAGGCGAAGAATTGGATTGAAGTTACGAAAAAAAAAATTGGCGGACAATTCAGTTAAGCCATATTTCTGACGACGAAGAGTCGGAATGGCTGAAAAATATAGATCCATGTTAATTAGATGAGTCGAACGAAGAAAAGTAGCTGGGCAACCAGGATATTTCTTCATTTATTGAAGAAAATAGAAACAGCAACACGACAACGAGCCAATTCCGTTCTGCTTCGTATACCTCTGTCACGCACTCCCCGTAAATAAATATCCGCGGAATTCGCCCGCACTGAAATAACAATTTGGCGTGTTGGATAATGAAAAACTTATTCGACCTTTTGTTGTGTAGTATTGCTGGGTATTTTACTCGTTATTTGTATTTTGATTCGCTTTACGGGCTCATCAAAATACGGCACAACTCATAAGAATACTCAGCGATACTACACAACAAAACGTCTCATAAGATGTATGAACCAAATCAAATATTGCGGTCTTTCCTTACACTTAGGTAACACGGAAAGCCGTAACACTCTTGAACAAAAGCTCATCTTTCAAACCGGCAGTCTAAATCCCACAGGGATCAGCGAACGCTTTTCATTCCACTAATTTATTCGTGTTTTTCTCGTTGCCATGTTCCCACCGATAACGTAGCTCCATTTTCTGCCTTTAAAAGCACACACAGCCCA